TATCGGTTATGAAAAATAATTGTATTATTTTGAGCAAAGTCTGAAATGCTCGATGGGTTTCTCAATAAAGATTAAATTATATTTTGAAGAATTGGGACTGTCTCAAACCACAAACCGGCGGATTTAGAGAAAACATTTGGACTCACATTCATATAAAATTGATCTCATTCAAGAACTGAAGCCATTGCATTACGGTGAATGCGGTAAATAAAAAACACGTATGTGCAAAAAAAAAAATCTACAAATTGTTTATGAACAACTATTACATTCACCTAACTTGATAGTTTGGTGAGATTTTTGTTCTTTTGGAATCATCAGCCCATACTTCTTTCGAAATGAAACAAGTGACACGGTTACTGTCAAAAAAGAGCGGCACAATTAGATCGATGATAACCAACTTTGTATGGCCGCAATTGGGACAAGTTGGCAACATCTGGTTCTAAGCATATGAGGCTACGTTTCAAACAGCACGTACAATAACCAAATTATTGAGAGAGATTGTTGGAACTTCGATTATTTCCATAAATTTTGACGTTGAATGACCTTCGAAAAGTTCAGATTTAATAATTGGACTACTTATGGAGTGGTTAAGAAAAAGTCGTGGATGCCATTCATCATTCAGATGTTATACTGAGGACTTATTTGTATCGATTGTGGCTAGAAATGATTCTTTTACAAATGACTCAAGCAGCTAACAACTTCCGGTCTTAGATCAAGTATCCTCTGGGTAGCCAGAGAACATCCGTTTGAAGGCGAGCTAAAGTGAGAAGGCAAAACATCCCTTCCCCAGGGTAGAGCGCTGCGTTTAGGACCCGCTGCGTTTAGGACCCGCTACGTAAAAAATGTCGCCAATGCAAAGGAAAGAGACTCTCCTTTTTAAACTCGGACAGACTATGTAAAACACAAGGTTAATGTTGTTTTAAGCACCTTCTTATTTTGGGCTTTTAAAAAACTATATGGATTAAATAGGAAATATAAATCTTTCGACCAATTGACTCAATTAATGAAGGTTTAAGAGCATACTTAAAACTACAACTTCTACCTAGTAACAACTACAACTTAATACAACTTGAAACAACTCACAATAACTACATATTAGTGTTGTTGTAAATTGAGGTCAAGCTGGACTGTTTACTAGCAAACCGATTGCACATTTATTTCCGTCGGATATTGAAGCTAAAGAGATAAATACAAATATACTTCTACGAAATGCAGGTGTGTGTATAACTCTGCTTAATGCTTATCTCAGTATACCGCAAAGCTTGAGCATGTATAAATATGACCGACAACTGCTAAACATATGTGTTAGTGCTGTTCAGTGTTGCCGTGTTCACTTTAATACAGTTCAATTTGCAAGTGGATTACAATGTGGTTTCCCAGAACGCTTGTATATCTCCCAAACTTTAGCTTGCAACAACACATTTGCATTAAATATAAGCTTGCAAATATTACCCAATTAGTACAAGTGCTGACACACACACACACAAAGTAACTAAAAGCAAGGGAGTTGCACAAACCGCATTGACAAATCTAAAGACGGCAATTTATGCACGTGTATGTGTTTAACGTGTTTAAATATTGGTTGTTACTAACAGAGCGTTTTGCACATGAGGAGAGTTGAACTGACTATTTGGCTTACAAATTTTTTCACCAAATAGAATTTTTAGAGGATTTATCTGATTTTGAATTTAATCGTAAAAAAAGAAGAAAAAAAAACGTTGCACTGAAGCTATAATACCCTTCACAGGCTTGATTCTGATCGGTTAGTATAGTATAACAGCTATAGGGTTTCGAGATCCGGTATGAAGACTTCCTCCGAAGATTGCACCTCGACAAATAATACGTGTCACATTTCGTTATGATATCTCTTCAAATGAAAAAGTTTTCCATACAAGAACCTGGTTCCGATCGTCGCTTTGTATGACAGCAATATATAATAGTGGTTCGTTATCAGCGGTTCCAGCAAATGAGCAGCTTCTTGAGACGAAATGATCATATCTTAAATTTGAGACTGATATTTAAAACATGTTAGACGATGTGCGTGAGTACGAAGGGCTTAACATGCCTGCCGACACAGGTAATGCTCGAAAATTCTACGAAAATTTGTGGCAACTAAGGGATTGTTTAAAGAGCGAAGGCAAATGCAGCGCCTTGTTTTCGTGAGCTCTGTTTCAGTGTCGAAAAAAACGATAAAAAAATAAACTTTGTGCTCGCAGATTGTGGCTCCAAGTCCAGACAATCCTTCAAATTTTTGTTAAGGGGCACACCTAGTGTGAAAGCGTAAAAAAAGGCATTTTTTGGGGTCAAAAAAAAAAAAAAATATATATATATATTGTCAATCAATCGTTTTAAAATTTTGAGGGTATATTTATACATGTTTTAAGAGTACACAAAATTTTTGAAAATATTAAATATTTTTGAAATGACAAGCGATCTCCGGCGGCGCAGCCTTCTCTGTTAATAAAAAAAAAAAATTCTCGATAAACTAAAACATATTGTCTGTACGATGGCCCTCGGGCTAATGTTGGCGGCATGTTGAAAAAAAAAGTTAAATTTCACCCAAAATTATGGTCGTTTTTGGTCTGCCAAAATTCGATTTTTGATTAGATCAAAAAACTGGAGAGTCATCGTATGGAGAACTATATAGAGAAGATAAAAAAAAAAAAAAAAATTTGATAGCGATCGGATCATTTGTCTCCGAGTAATCACTCCAGCAAATTCGGAAAATGCTATTTCGAGAAAACGCGTTAGAAAATGTCCCATATCCAATGCAACTATCTAACTGCCGAGCGGCTACTCTTTTAAATGGCTGTAACGCAAAAATTGTTTCAGATATCAATTTGAAATTTTAGTATGTTATTTTTAAAGATATAATCTATCGAAATATGAAAAAAATTTCACATTAGGTGTGCCCCTTAATTGCTAATTTATTTACTAATTCAACTGAGGTCGTATACCACTCCAGGAAGAATTGCGTGAAGATTGTCTAAAATCAGTTGTTGTTATTCCGGATTTATTGTTGTGTGCAAGTTGATATTGCGAAGGCGTCATGTGAGTTATTGCGAGATAGAGACAACTGCGGACATTAGCTGCACCAACACACACTCCATATTGCATGAATGTTTGAAAATTTGTTTCACGTTGCATCCCACACTATTTTCAATCGCTCAAAAGAAGGCTCGCATCAAGTGGTCGAGAAATTAAAAAAAAAATACGTTAGCGGTGCTTTGCAACACGTCTATGAATTCATTATAGAAGATGAAACTGTCTTGTGCGTATGCGCTCAAAAGTAAAGGGCAGTCGACTGGTGTATCCAGATGATTCGAATTCAACAAAAACTGTTCGCACATGAAGCAGTTTCAACCAATTTATTGCCTGTTTTCTAGTTTCACGGACATGGTGAACCATACAAATAAAACAACGTAGAACATTTAATTCTGAGCGGCAGACAATCATTTGTTTGTCAATTGTCTGTCGAGAAATCAGAGACGTCTATGCCAGCTCTCACATATCGACTGCAATAGTTGCAGTTTTGAGTACTCCAAACATCAATTTGAAGATTCATCCACCGAGTAGTCCTGACATCGCAATCATTGCCTTCGTTTCAATGCTGTACGAACTAAGCGGTCAACGTTTTGTGACACCTGAAGGGGCAGTTGATGCGTTTAGAACGCATTTTTGGAGAACCCTCTGTCAGAGTGGCAAGAGTGCTGCGACAATTGGTACTAAGACATTGAAAAATGATCTTAAGATAAATAGGTGAGGATTGCACCACGACCTTCTATAGGTCTATTGTGTCCTAGAATAACTTAATTGAGAATATTTTGAAAAAAAAAGCGTAAAAGCGATTTTCAATGTTTAATATTTGTTTTTGTTCCCTTATCACGAGAAATAAAAGGCAACCCTGGTATATAATAATTATTTCGTGATTTCTTAAAATAAAACTTAATATGATTACGGTCTCTGATGTTGAATCAATAACTAACCTTAATTAAACTAAAAGTAATGAGTTTGGGTTTTATATAATAAGTTATAGAAAATACATTAAAGAAAATATAATCAAATCAAGTAACAGATAACATTAAATAATGCAACAATGTCATGTTCGACAACAGAAGATGGTATTTCAAAGATGAAGAATTCTCAAGTGAATTAGTAATGATTACAATAGAAAAATGCCAAGCAAATTAGATGACCGAAGAGAAAAGTATGGAAGTTGAATAGTAAAAAAGCTGTTGCAGGCGAAGGCGAAAAGTGCAAAGAAGAAGAAGAAGAAGAAAGTTCAAAAATCACAGCGAATAGTTGAAGAAAATGGTAAGTGAGATGCAGAGAGGAAAGAATTTTGCGACATTTACATAAAATATGCAACTCCAATGGCAGCACAAATAAAAAAGAGAAATAAAATAAAAAGGGAGAAAATGAGATGACTGTTGCCACCAAAGGTATGCGTAATTGTATTTCATAAGCGGCTTAAGGATAATGGAAATTAAAACGGAACTCGGTGATGGAGAATTTCAATATAAAATAAAATATATATTTGTAGTATGTATTTCAAATGCATATAAGTAAATGGATTGTTTGCAATGTTGATTGTGGCTAGACTGCCGATAGTGAATAGAAAACATAGCAATATTCATAGTAATAATAATAATAATACGGTAAATATTTCAATTCAAACTAAGTGGCTATTTAATAAATATGGAATTATAAACATGTAAGCATGCATGTAATTCAAAAGTAATTATGTGAGCATTGCAATTAATGCAAGTAATTATGAAACTAAATTTAAATGAAAATGATGGGCATACAGTGCTTTTGTGGTTTTCATTTACATCGCAAAAAAAGCTTGTGTGGGCTTAAAAATGTGAACATGTTGAAAATAAAACATTTGTTTTGGTTGCTTTTTGCACTCCATTGTAAAGCCAATTAGTTCTGACCACTTAGTGTACTATTTTAATTTATGGTATATGTATATGAGTAAGTATTAAATTTGGACATACCTTTCACTTGCAATGCTTGAGTTGCGTGACATCGACTTTGGCGACATCTCAAAGTCGGAATCCGAGCGGTACAAGAACGATTCGCGACGTTGTGGAAGATTTTGCAGCACCAAGCCGGCGCTTGGTGAGCCGCCTTCAAGCGGTGATCTAGCGCCTTGGCCATTTTCTACATCGAAGCTGTGGAGGTGATGACAAAAGTAAATCATTAGAGAGATAAAAAGTATAGAAAAAAAGTGTTTTTGCTATTATAATTTTTTTATTGTTATTATTGGAGCAGCGTTAAATTAAAAATTATATATAGAATTAGAAAATTTAATTTTTTGAATATAGGGAATTAGAAAATAGAAAAATATGTAATCGTATAAAATTAATTTTGAGCGCTAAAACATTTAAAAACAGATCTTTAAGCTCAAAACCAGAACCAACAAGTAAGGAAGGCCTAAGTTCGGGTGTCACCGAAGATTTTATACTATCGCATGATAAAGTGATAATCGAGATTTCATTATCCGTCATTTACATATTTTTTTATTTYGCTGTAAAATTAATTAGATTAGATCAATTTGTGTACTTTGAGTATTGAATTGGGTTTTCATTTATTTTAATTGTAAAAATTGTGAAAGGTTATAGTCTGATCACGACAAGTTTTTCACAAGAGATACCTCAGCTCAAATACTTTATTTGTGTAAAGTTTTATTCCGCTATCATCATTGGTTCCTAATTTATATAAATATTATACAGAGAAGGCATCAGATGGAATTCAAAATAGCGTTATACTGGAAGAAGGCGTGGTTGTGAACCGATTTCACCCATATTTCGTACATGTCAACAGGGTGTGAAGAAAATATTATATACCGAATTTCATTAAAATCGGTGGAGTAGTTCCTGAGATATGGTTTTTGGTCCATAAGTGGGCGATGCCACGCCCATTTTCAGTTTTTAAAAAAGCCTGGGTGCAGCTTCCTTCTGACATTTCTTCCGTAAAATTTAGTGTTTCTGACGGTTTTTGTTTAGTCTGTTAACGCACTTTTAGTGATTTTCAGCATAACCTTTGTATAGGAGGTGGGCGTGGTTATTATCCGATTTCTTCCATTTTTGAACTGTATATGGAAATGTCTGAAGGAAACGACTCTATAGAGTTTGGTTGACATAGCTATAGTAGTTTCCGAGATATGCACAAAAAACTTAGTAGGGAGCGGGGCCACGCCCACTTTTCCAAAAAAATTACGTCCAAATATGCCACTCCCTAATGCGATCCTTTTCTAAATTTCATTTTAATATCTTTATTTACGGCGTAGTTATGACATTTTATAGGTTTTCGGTTCCCGCCATTTTGTGGGCGTGGCAGTGGCCCGATTTTGCCGATCTTCGAACCTAACCTTCCTATGGAGCCAAAAAATACGTGTACCAAGTATCATCATGATATCTCAACTTTTACTCAAGTTACAGCTTGCACGGACGGACGGACGGACGGACGGACAGACAGACATCCGGATTTCAATTCTACTCGTCACCCTGATCACTTTGGTATATATAACCCTATATCTGACTCTTTTAGTTTTAGGACTTACAAACAACCGTTGTGTGAATAAAACTATAATACTCTCCTTAGCAACTTTGTTGCGAGAGCATAAAAATCAAAAAATTAAATATGTCTTCTTCTTCTTGATTGGCGTAGACACCGCTTACGCGATTATAGCCGAGTTAACAACAGCGCGCCAGTCGTTTTTTCTTTTCGCTACGTGGCGCCAATTAGATATTCCAAGTGAAGCCAGGTCCTTCTCCACTTGTTCCTTTCAACGGAGTGAAGGTCTTCCTCTTCCTCTGCTTCCCCCGGCAGGTACTGCGTCGAATACTTTCAGGGCTGGATCGTTTTCGTCCATCCGGACAACATGACCTAGCCAGCGTAGCCGCTGCCTTTTAATTCGCTGAACTATTGAACTATGTCAATGTCGTCGTATATCTCGTACAGCTCATCGTTCCATCGAATGCGATATTCGCCGTGGCCAACGTGCAAAGGACCATAAATCTTTCGCNTCCATCGAATGCGATATTCGCCGTGGCCAACGTGCAAAGGACCATAAATCTTTCGCAGAACTTTTCTCTCGAAAACTCGCAACGTCGACTCATCAAATTAAAAATAAAAAAAAAAAAAAAAAAAAAAAATTAAAAAAAAAAAAAAAAAAACAATAAAACTAAGAATCAAAAAATTAGATATGTGCCGGATTTAATTTAAATTAAAAAAAATTTTGAAAATTTTTAATTTCAATATATAAACAAAACATCAAAAAAATAAGTATTGCAATTTAATTAGTTTTTAGACGCAAAAAATTTAATATATGATTTTTAATCCGAAACAACAAGAATATTTAGTTTGAAAATTATAATAACAAGTATAAAAAATTACTTGCAACATGTTGCAAGAGTATCTAAATTTGTTATATGTAAAAGAGGCTGTCATAAATTAATAAAAAAATAAATAAATAAAAAAAAAACACATAATCGCTTGCAGACTTATTTTAATAAACGCTCAAATCCGCAATAAAGCTGAGCGCTGCAATTTTTGTTTCACATTTTATTATTAATATCTCCACATTACATGTGTGTTTTTGTTGTATTTGCCATGTAAACGGGAGTAAATTGTACTTTTTTAACTCCGCAGCAGTTTAAATGTGGCGCTATGTGCATACGAGTATGTCGCTCATACGCCTCGGCATATGCCTTAGCGGCTCATTATAAATTGCCAGCAACCGACCGAACGCAGCACTGTTGGCGTTTCGGGTTTTTGTTTACAAACAAACTTTGCTTTTAGCTGGAAGCATTTTGTCAGTTTGCTTAAGGTTTTTTTCAACAGTTTTAAAGTTAAATTTTTAATTATTAGATTTTTCCGCTGGTTGCTGTGGCATCTTCTTTGAATACATAATTACATACAAGTGTATGTGTGAGCAAGCTTTCTTGTATTTGTCAACTGTTAATAACTGAGAAAGCGTTTTTTGTGCAGAAATTTATTTTTATGATATATTCTACTCGTATAAGCTGAGTATATATGTACTATATATCGTTGGGTATTAAGTAGGCGCAATTCCAAGAAATCACTGAAACGACTAGCTAGCGATATATAATATGTAAATGATTGGAAAAAATCGTTTAGATATATTTTAAGTTAATTACATAAATAATGTCAAAAATGGAGTTTTATTTATTAGCTTGAGTGGGTTGCCGGAGATTGTTTTGAAATATAGATAAAAAACATGGAACTAATGTTTGCTTGATGACTTTGAGTTTTCAAAAGAGAGAAGCTGAGACTGTCCACAAATTGATCTGTTATTTGAAATCTGGTAACACAGCAGATGTTTTATCAAGCCTGTATATAAGGTACCTTAATAACAAATACATCATTTTTGCAAAAGACGGTCTTAGCGATCTGTATCGCGCGAAGATTTTCTACAAAAAAAAAAACTTTTCTATCATTTTATCGATAAATACTAATACTGCAACAGCTAATAAGAGACAATTTGTGTCTTGTGCGTTGTGATGACTTTCTATCAAAGATGCAGTAATCTTCTTATTGAAAATATTTATAAAAAATGGAAGTTATTGAGTTTGACCATGACCATATCTTATAGAGCAAAAAGCGAATCATTTCTGAAATGTAAGATTACTGGCCTCTTACAACAAGGGTCGTGGTCGAATTACGATGGCGCAAATGTCGACCGAGCCAGAATTGTCAGTCGAAAAGATATTCTATGTGTTTGGTGCGATTGAGGGACAATCATCCAAAACTGTTGAAATGTCTGAAGGAAGCAATCGCTTAGAACGAGTCAGTTTTGGTCAATTGGAAGAAATTATGTTTTGTAAAAACCATGAAACATCACACACATTTCTTATCTTATTGCAGCCTTTGACGAATAATTTTGTTGGAAAGGGCATTTAGTAATAATTGTCTGTCGCGAGCAAGTGTTTTCGATTGGTACAAATTACCCAAAGAGGGTCGAGAACGCTTTGACGAAATCAACAGATGATCAACATGTTAATAAAGAGAAATTGGTGCTGGAGAATCGACTATTAACAGAAAGAGGTCTTACTGGCAACTTTGGAATATCGGAAGGATTAGTGAAAACCATTCTGAAAGATGATTTGTATAAAGTCACGAGGAAAAGTCTTACTACATATTTTGCTCATAGCAGTTTATAAGATATTTGATTCCTTGGACAGTTCGGTCAGAGAATTATTATCACRTTTTCTTTCTATAATGTCGTCTATTTTAAATTTCTTAGCAGATGTATTATAATATTTTCCAGTTTAGCTCGATTAAATACGAAAAACCCAGCTTTTTTGTGGACTGTGTTCAATTCTGATAAAGAGACAACTACACTTCCATTTGTCCATATTCATTGTAGTGGTTTCCTACTTTTTCATATACTTTTATTGTTTTTTTCGTAACCTTCATTATTTATTTAGGCAAGTAACACGTATGTTTTTAGGCCTCAGCTGATGTCCCTGTCATCTGTCGAAAATCTTGCAACTTATGCATTAGTGTAGTCGATGAGGATGATTTTTGAGTAACGTGTGAAATAGGACAATAATTTTGATTGCGTGACTACTTAGACTGGGCATTGATTAAACTCAGCGGCTAAGATGTTGAAAGTTTCAGCCAAAAATAATGCTTTACCTCACTTTTTTTATTAAGACAATAATAAATTATAGTTTACGGATTTTCATAGAGCTTTTATAGATGAATTATAGGTGTAAAACATATAGGTTTTATAAAATTCATTTTCTTAGACAGAAATTTTGATTTTTTTGATAAGCGTCAAAGGTAAGCATTTTAAATGGGTATGTGATAAGCACCTTAAACCAAAATTAAAACGAAAAAAATAGCAACCGACCAGCCCTACTTTCTTCACAAGCTGTCTTGATTGTGTGTGCACACAGAGCATACGCAAAAAATTAATTAATTTAACTTTTGACAGTGAAGCCCTGATGAGCCAACTGGGTCGCCATTGCCGACTGTGATGCCCTAAAGTTTGCTATTTAAACGCTGCACTCAAGTTGCTTGGTCATCGTTTGGTACCGCAGCTTTGCTTTGCACCGGATTTGCTGCATTCCACCACTTCCACGCCCCGCCCACACACTAACTATCACCCAGCAATGCTTGTTGCTTTGGTTTCATGCGCAAG